GGGGGGGGGGGGGGGGGGGGGGGGGGGGGGAGAAAAGGAAGGCGAAGTGGTGGTAAGTGGGAGAAGTGGGGAAGAAGAAGAATTGAGAAGAAAGTTTGAATGATAACCTATCAGAGAGCAAATAGTTTATGTGTAAGCAAAATTTGGTCTTACAATAACGACTTTTTTTTTTTGAACAATACTTTCTGAAAAAAAAAACTAAAAAAAAAGAACAGAAGTTTAGCGAATGATAAGAACAAAAACTTTTTTATACTCCAAATTTATCTTTTTTTTTCTTCTGCAAAAAAAAGTGAATAAACCAAAATTGTTAAATATTTAAAAAAAAAAAAAGAAGATTGAGAAGACATTTGAAACATAAAGAAAAAAGAATTTTTTTCCATGTTTCAACAGAGATTATTTTGTGGTTGCAAAAAAAAATAAGAACATTTGCATTCTGAAATAAATTATAGCATTTGAAGCAGTTACTGTAAAAATTCTGTTTTAAGAAATAATTGCTTACAGTTTTCACACTAAATTTTTTTTTGTTTTTCTTTTTCTGTTGTTCACTTTAAAGTTTATTATAATTTTTAGAATTTTCTGCTTATTGATGTCAGAAAATTTTTATAAAACTACAGTTTAAACAAACAAAAAAAAAAGTAAAAAATTTCAGATTCAAACGTTTCAAAAGAGCGAACAGCTCTGATAAAACTTGTTTTCAATTGTTTTTGTTCTTTTTTTTTGTTTTTTTTGAAAAATTTTTGAACGAAAAAAAGAAAATTTTTTTTTTGTATTATTGACAGTACTGTAGAAGAAACTGTATTTTTTCATTGGTTTTTTAGTCATAACAAAAATGATGAACATTCGTTGGGTGCACAATTATTTGCTGTGGATCAACAAACCGGTGATATACTAATTGATCCAAGTTTAGCAGATTTTGATGCTGGAATTTTTAAAATTTATATTGACGAATTTAAACAACAATCAACCAAACCAAAAGCTACAAAAATTGTACAGGTATTTGTCTGGTTCAAATCTATCTCAACTAATCTTTGTCAAAATATCAGCTGCTGTTTGATGTGGCAGTCTGTTGTCCAGTTTTTTTTTTTTTGATAAAGAACAAAATTCTTACTGTCTGTTTTACAGATTTAAAAGCTTTTTTTTTTTCCTGCTGTTGTTTTCAGTTTTGTTTCAG